TTTTTCAGATGCAAAATTACTAAATTGTTATTATATTACAGTTTTTAGAGCTTTTGGTACAAAATGAAAATAAGGTTTCTCCTGGAAACAACAAGTTTGACTTTTATTATAGCAAACTTTTTATATTTACATTTTTTACTCTGAAATAATTTTAAGTTACAATTTTGATCAATTACTATATTTTAAAGCTACATTTTTGGTCCCTTACATAATTGTTTTTCCATAGATGTTTTTATAGTTTTCATTTTTATTAATATTACTTTTTTATTTAAACAATGATTAAAATGTTTAAGATACATTTTCAAACTTTATTTTGTACATCGTCTATATATAATTTTTTTGCTTCGAAACCTTATTTTATACTTTTATGATTCACTTTGTAAAAAGTTTTTTGCCGCAACGCGTATAAATTTCTCCCAAAAACCTTATCCATATCGAGATGCGTTTTTCAACATATTAGGCTTCACCAGCATAGCACGAACGGTCCAAACTCTAGTTTAGTATATAAATAAAGAACAAGAAACAAACTAACATATATATATATATATATATATATATATATATATATATATATATATATATATATATATATATATACTAGTCGTCTACCCGCGCAAAGCGGCGGGCGGCGAATAGTTTGTTTCGACAATTAGGTTTTTTTTCTACGGACAATGATTAGGTTCAGTTCAATTATTAGTTTGTTTTAAGAAACATGTCATATAATGAGAGAGAGAGATGTTGTGACTGACATTGGGTGTTCAACAACATACATTCCTATGTTAGGTTAAAAATATAAATATATTCATGTATTACTTAGGTCATTAACAAAAATATGTATTTTTAATGTTTATAATACAAGTGCGTTGTTTTTTCGGTTAAAAATAAAAATAAGTTGTTATTTTAGGTTGAAAATTTTCGTTGTCATTTAATTTTTAACAGAAAATGTCAACTGGATTAACAATTGTCATTTTCAATTAATTTCTAATTGAGGAAAATTCAATGACGTTTGTTTAAATTTTATATTTAATTTTTCTATTTAGATCATTTGGATGAATTAATGTAAAGTACTATCCTTATTTTGTAAGTCTTCTTTGGATAAATTTTATGAACAATACTTTTGTAAGTCTACTTTGGCTAAATTATATGAATAATACATGCACAATACAAATAGTTTATTTTGGTAATTAATATATTTTTGGTATACATGGTTAGTTTCATAAACCTTCTATAAAAGTAGTTTAAAACATCATTTTTTATAAAAATATTTATCAAATGTCTTTAAAAAACCTATAAACACAACACATTCTATTTTTTAACAATAAATGTTTGAACTTTGCCTTTTATATGCTTTAAATTCGAGGAGCATTGAAAATTCCAACAAAATGAAAAACAAAGTAGTATATTTGATGGGAGTAGAATGTTAATCCCTATTAAGATAAAACTTAAAGAACTTAAGATGAAATATGTGACATAATCTTAACTTTGTTGATAACGAAGTCTGATAAATGAAAGTGTATGCAAGTAAAATAACAGAGGTATACAAAACAAATGCAAAATAGTCAATTTTCTAACTTCTTTTTAAGTGATACAATCAAAAGGAAATAGATAATGTGGCACACTATGTGATACAATCAAAACTGTAATTTCCCGGTTATTGTCAAAGAAACTGGTAGGAAGAAAAAGCCATGATTTCAAAAGGTTGTAATATAAAAAAAAACTTGTGAAAAGTGAAATAGTTATGGATCTCAAGACGTGTATGATGTGCCTAATTCTTCGTTTTATCTACATTTTCATTTCTTCCGCATGTTTAACATTCCCCTTCTATCAAATACAATTAGTATCTTCATAATTAGAATCCATAAAATTGATATAAATTAAAAAATATTCAAATATAGTGACCATTAATGATTTACCTGTTATGGGCATTCCATATTTAGCTTCAAATACTAACCGATCAACAAACAAAACAATGAGAAAAAAAGTTAATAACAAATTCTATTAAGAACAAAACAACATCTAATCGAAGATTGGAAAACCAGGTACATAATTCTATTAAGAAAAAAAAGAACATCTAATCATCCAAGAAACCTTACGGATAATTATTTTAGAAGGGTATCCATTTTTCTTAAAATTAAAGAAAAGTAAGCGAAAAGCCGGGCAACATACAAAGTTCAAAAGTCAACAAATAGAAAAAAAACATAATAAAAGGGTAAATGTGACTGATCACAAATAAATAGAAATTGAGTAGTGCAGTCACCCCAATTTGAATTGTGGACATCCAGATGGGCAAAGGTACTCAGTAAAGCAAGCAGTCAAATATACATAGATCTAGTAAGACCTGCACCAACTGGACAAAATAATGCACCCCAAACCCATTTAATATCAATGAATTTTTAATGACTCCATAACTAACTTAGAACATTAGGGACTTGTGGGACTTGAAAATACTAATGATTTCATTGTATTAATAAATTTACGTCTTATCTACACAAAAAAGAAAAGTAAGTTGGTCAAATATTTTTAGGCAAAAATATAGAAAATAACATTACACTTCTCTTTTTTAGTAATATAGGTAATGCATTTAATTATGTTTCTCATAACAGCAATGCACTATGATTTTATTATCTAAAATAGCATGATAGATACATTTCTTTACAAATAACATATAAATGTAGCAATATTTTAGCCAATTCCTATACTCGACCATATCACATACACAAATGTAAGAAAAATAAAATGAAAATGGAAAAAAATTGGTACCTTCGTTCTTTAATAATGGCTGCTGGTTTTGATGCATTTTTAGTGCAGATTTAAAATTTCAAGATCTACAAAACAATTTCCACAATCAATAATCTTCATCAAAATGTAAGAATATTTCAAATATATATCTTAAAATTAGAAGCCACACCTGGATTCCTGGATTAACTTTTGTTTGAATGACTTAGAGCCACTGCACATAGCTAATTGAATGAATTTTGGAGGTGTTAGGCACCAATAGATTGGAAAGAGGAAACTAATTGTATGCAATATTGAGAAAGGTAAAAATCAACCAACCACACTGAAGAAACATAAAGAGAATCATGAATCCACATCTCCAACTTCAACATATAGAATATATGGCATGAAACCAACTCCCGGTGAACCAACAAAAAATTCCCAAAGCAAAACCAAGGGGTAAAATGGTCAAACTTAGAGCAAACAGCACATCAAAATCAATATACTATCAAGCAGCAGACAATAGAGGCATGGTACTTCGTAAATGCACTAGCAAGAAACCAAAGCAAAACCAAGGGGCAAAATGGCAATAACAAATGAAAATAAATAAAAATTATAACATGATATACCTGAAGCTCTTACAAGATAGTTCATAACTTCTTTCTAAAGATTTTAGTTCCTGGAAAAGTAACAATACCTGCAAATAATAGTTAATTGTAAACAATCCATCAGTTACTAATCCCTGCCACATTAATAAGCAAACTCTATGACTCATACAAGTTCCAAGCAAAGTAAAAAAAAAAAGTTAATTGCACAATCAAAGGCTCCAACGACCTCTTGACCCTTTACTCTTTAATTTGAAGTCATCACGTTCTTTACTCTATTTTAATAAATAACTAAAAAAACTGATCAAAACATAAGAAAAACAAAAGCTTAACATAGGTAAAGAAGACATTATCTAAGATTTTATAAAACAAAACTTTATAATAAATCATGATTAAAGAGTAGATGTAGAGAAAATGCAACTTACTTTCCAAGAGAATCTTCATCAGATCCAAAACATCCCTAATGTGGGAATTCGTCCTAACCTGAGACATTTGGTTGCTGTAGGGCCAATGGTGTGAGAGTGTGAGTAAGATCAACAACACCATGTAGATGTAAGTCGGATTTTTAAGGAGAATCAGCATGTTCATGAAACCAAAAGAGAATTACATTAACATCCCAAGCTACAAAGTCGGATTTGTGACCAGATTTCAACTTCAAAAATTTCAAATTTAAAAAATCCTAATTTGTTTTTAGAGATATAAGGCGGAGTGGTAATAAAAATTTGTTTCATAGTCTATCAAACACCAAAAAATGGAAGAGATTACTGTAGAAGGTTTATAGCTCAAATCGCAAATCCCAACTATGCTGCTTCCAAGCCCCAAATAACAAAGCTGCAAAGAATATATTTTTTAGTTACGTGTATCCCTGATTCACAGTGAAAAAGATAGATCATACCTGAAATCCAAAATCATTGAAGACGGTTTTGGCTTGAATCGTTGTCAAAGACAGATTGAGCCCTAGACTATAGATAGGGGTGGTGACCCAACGGGTTTTTAGAGAGAAGGTTAGGTGATAGTTGCGATTCTGGTGCGCTCAAAGGAGAGAGGGTGAGAAGGGAAGAACAAGTTTGTGTTGCGAAATTGAGAGTAGGGTTGAGGAAGAAGAACCGACGATCTTTTTTGGGTTTCTCCAAGTGGTGAGCCGCGACATATAGAGTGATGAGGAAAAATTTGAGAGATAAATTCCAAGAAACTGGAATTCAAAATTAAACGTTTGACATGTAAATCTGCGAAATTCTCGGGATTTAAAAGGGGCTGGGTCAAATGGTAGGAAGAGATAAGTTCGAGAGAATATGAAGATAACATTGCATATGCATCGATAGTTTTTTATACTTAGTTATTTTGGACATTTTAAATTTTATATTATTTTATTAGTAGTTACTTGTACTATTAGCTTAACGATGTGGACGTCTTAAAAAAATAATATTAATATATTCAATCTATTTATAGAAATAGTGAGATTTCTTTTATAAGAGAACTTTCAATTTAGATAAAGTTATAAAATCCCTTTGAGAAGCTATTTAATAAAGTTTTTTATTAAATCAAAATTAATATAAGAATTTATTCATGTTATTCTATTCCTCGAGATGTTAACCAAACAACTTTTAGCTATCCGATGAAATAGTATCGTCGATGAATACATAGCACCTTTTCCTTTCTGTTGTTGTATGTAAGCTTCGAGGAAGGACGGGAGTAGGGCCCGCGTCGATTAAACAATTTAAACTATTTGCGTTTGCCTGATTCACGGCGCATATGCTTCCCCTATCTTTTTAACTGCTCTTGTTATCTTCATCCTATCCACTTGTTTGTAAAAAAACGTCTGTCCTTTTTAACTGCTCCTGTTATCTTCTTCCATGCTTGGAAATCTAATTTCAATGGCGTCCAGTTCCTCCTCTAGTATTATGGCATCTCCCAGTGCTAACGGTAGCAGCTATGACGTTTTCCTAAGCTTTAGAGGCGAAGATACTCGTGATTCTTTTACGGATCATCTTTACCACGCATTAATACGAGCAGGAATTAATGCTTTTAGGGATAACGAAGAAATCAAGAGAGGTGAAGAATTGAAGCTAGAGATCAAGAAAGCAATCAAAGAGTCTAAGGGTTCAATAGTTGTGTTGTCAAAGAACTATGCAACTTCCACTTGGTGCCTTGATGAGCTTCTGTTAATACTCGAACAAAGGAAGGAGTGCAATCATTTTGTTCTACCTGTATTTTACCATGTTGATCCTTCTGATGTCAGGAAACAAAAAAATACTTTCGCAATCAAAGTCAAAGCCTCTTCAAGGTGGACAGATGACAACGTGAAGGTGTGGAAAAGAGCTCTTAAGGAGGTTGCTAATTTGCGCGGCATGGCCGATCAGTCCAGGTATTCCTTTCTCTCTCTTACTGAAATATATTTTTAACCTATGCTACTTTGATCCAATAACTTGACGATTATTAAGGTGTTAACTTGTATCCAATTTTGGTCTCTACTTTTAAGTTGTGACTCGTGAATTTGTTGTTGATAAGTGTCTCAGGAAATTTTAACAAACCTATATGGATCGTTAGGAGTTGTTTACTAGAGAAGTTCAATATATCAAAGGAAAAGTAATTCAACTGAAAAAATGATGTAGATGTAATTGACGTGATTATAGAAAATACATTTGTCATGGCTAAATTTGTTTTTTACTTCGAAAATGTAATAGAAAAAGTCTAAAAATGTCAACGAGTCTACAGCTCAATGCTTCTTAATACATCATCTACAAGTTTGACCCTTGACTAGAGCTAAGAGCAACACTGTTGTTATGACCATTAAACTTTAAAGTGGAAATTGCAAATTTTTACCATTTTTTTTGGATTTAGTACAAAAACAAGATTTTTACTTTTGCTTTTTTTCTCCACATGGTTTCAGTTTCTTTTGGTTTGATCCTTAGATGTCAAATCTAGCTGTTCAACTGTTGTTTTTAAATTAAAGAGTTAATGTCAATCTTTGCCAACAAACTTTAGCATACAGTTTTAAATGGTCCTTGCAATTATTTTTGTGGAAACTTGAATGGTAATTCAATTTAATCAAACCTATGTTATAGTAGTAAGTTACTTTGGGAAAGTTAATTATTCAATACTTTAATTCATCATACCAAAGAATCCCAAAATGTCTTCGCATCAACTTGTTCATTTTTCTGTTGTTATTTCAGGCCTGAAACAAAGCTTCTGGAGAAAATTGTTTACTTTATTTACGAACAACTGGATCATAAAGAAGTTCATCTTCCAATCAATCTAATAGGGATGGCTGCTCGATACAAGGATGTAAATTTCTTGTTAAATGGATCCAATGCTGAATTTTTAGCAATCTGTGGCATGGGTGGAAGTGGCAAGACAACATTGGCCAAGTATATTTTCGATTCAAATTGTCAGAAATTTGAAAGCGTGAGTTTTATTGAAGGCATTGGTCCCAAATGTAAAGAATCCAATGACTTGCTTAAGCTACAGGAACAACTTCTCAGGGATATTTTGGGAGGCAACAAGAGAAAAATACCTAGTGTTTGTCAAGGTACATTCAATATTGAAGATGCCTTACGAGTGAAGGAGGCATTTATTGTTCTTGATGACATTGATGAAGTAAGCCAGTTGGTAGCTTTACTTGGATCCGGGTATATTCACAAACAAAGCAAGATTATAATAACCACTAGGGCAAATAGTATTGGTAAATGGTTTCAGTTCAGATCTTGGAGGTGTGAAGAGTACCAAATGAAATTACTGGATGATGATGAATCATTGGAGCTTTTAAGTCAACATGCCTTTGGATCCAAAAGTCTGATGGAAGGTTATGAGGAGCTTGCAAAACAGGTATTGCAGTATTGTGAAGGAAATCCATTGGCTCTTAAAGTGTTGGGTTCCTCTCTAGCAGAGGATAACAGCATCGCATTTTGGGAAAGTACATTGAACTTATTGGGAAGAGATATACATGATAAAATTCAATGTGTACTCATTAGGAGCTACAACACTTTGCCACATGACTCTAACAAAGAGTTGTTTTTGCATATTGCATGTTTCTTTGTTGGCAAAGACATAGATTACGTGGTGAAGATTTTGGAGCGTGATTACTCTGCATTATCTGGGATTAAAATTCTAACCAACAGATGCCTTCTTTCTGTTTCACCAAACAATAAACTGATGATGCATCCATTGCTTCAAGAGATGGGGAGAACAATAGTCCATCAAGAAGCACCAAAGGACCCTGCAAAACGTAGTAGAGTCTGGCGTAATAAGGATTCTTATGATGTTCTATGAAAAGGAAAGGTGAGATTCTTCCTATTTGTATGTTGAAGCTTATATTCCTTTCACACCCTTCTATTTTGGTAGAGATTGTATTTATTCACCCACTTTTTGTATAGGGTTCTGAAACAGTGGAAGGTCTAGCACTTGACATGCAAATGTTGACCCAAGAGAACTACTCATTCAAGGTAATACATAATAAACATTAATGCATGTTCTTTACATGTAAAAGAAAATTTTGTTAAGATTCTAAAAGATCATAATCGTTGATTCCTTTTTTATATATCTGTGGGTACATTTTTGTATTTACTCTAGAATAGAACCAAGTAAAGGTATAAATCCATCATTTGGATATTTGACTTGGGTACAAGGTTTTTTCTTCATTTTGTCCAACTAATGGACATTTTAGCAATAGTCAAAATAACTCATTATATTGTTCGTGTAGAATCACGAGGTTAACTTCCAACCCGCATGGAAACTAACGATTTTGCTATTGAAGAAGCTAAATAAACCCTATAAGAACTAGGAAAAGAAGAGAAAGTGAGTATACTTACTCAAGTGATCCAACACCACTAAAATAGAATTCGTACCATTCAATTTGGGTAATCCTTCTATTAAGTCCATTGTGATTTTCTAAACTTTTAAAGGGAAGGGTGTTGGTCGTAATAATAACCCAGCTTTCCGAACCTGTTAAATTTTTGTTCCTTTGACTCACTTCACATTGTTTTACCATGCCATTTATATCCTTTCCCATTCCCACCCAAAATACTTCTGAAGCAATGCATTGATACACTCTATCTTCACCTGAATATCCACCCACTGGGTCTCCATGGAATTCATCAAAGATACTTATAATCAATGTTGAATTTCTTGGTATGACCAAATGATCTTTGTACAAAAGCAAGTCTCGTATTTAGAAACATTTATGAGTATGAAGGTCTTCCGCAATATCTTTTGTTATTTTATTTAAAGATCCTCATCGTTGATTTCCTGTTCTAAATTATCCCATGGTCTCTATTTGTGGACCCCGCCCCCACCCCACCCAAGAACAACACATTTCACTTCTAGTTTCCTCTTTGACGATGCATCTACTGCTCTATTGCTTATTCCCATCTTTTGGGTTGAAGTGGTCCTGCTGTGTGCCGAAGGTCGAGAGACCCAGGGCGTCCCGGATAGACTGTGGGCCAGAGGGGCGTACCAGTCAGGCCGAAGGCCCTGAGGACGTTCCAGGTAGGCCCCTTTGGCCCCCTAAAACCCATCATGGGCCTAAATCCAAAGGAGCCCAAAAGATACGAACCAGAAGCCCAACATAGAAGTCTAATGGCTCAACTAAGAAAACCCAACAATGGCCCATCCTCAAAGAGCCCAAAACGACACACTGAGGAGTATGCCCCGTGTACCAGAGTGTGCCCCCGAAACATACTGTACACGTCCATAATGTACAAACTCAGCATTACGCTGAGCTTACTCTTAAGTACGCCCCACGTACTCTTCCAGCCACCTTTTCACTCCAATAAGCCCTTAATCGGTTAAGACAGAGTGCCAAACTCTCGGATCTAATTCTATAAGCCTACTTATCATGTAAAGTTAGCAACTTTACGTGCTTGCATGGCAAAAAGGGACTCAAAAGCTCAATAAGGACTTAACAAAGGTCTTAATGCTTGCATGGATCACAATACTTCATAAAGCTTGCATTTTTATGAACCTTGGGACTGAATGGAGCTAAGATCTAGCACCCATTGCTTCTGGAGTAGATCAAAAACCCATCTTTATCACAAAAGACTCCAAAAAGCACAAAATACTCCATAAACGAGATCTAACATATAAGATCATCAAGATAGAACCTTTATACCTCCAAAATGTAGATGAATATGCAAAAACCTTGGATCCAAAAGCTTCGAGCCATCTCACACTTCTTCAAGAAGTTCCTTCTTTTTCTATGAACACTAAAAAGCATGAAATACCACCAAAAGCTCAAAAACCACTCAAATAGGGGCTAAGGTTTCGATCCTAGGGTTTAGAGGGATGGAGGCCCAGCGTACTCCTTAGAACACCCGCGATCAAATTGATCAGTACGCCCAACGTACGCCATTATACGCCTCGTATACTTCCTGCATACTTGTGTACGCCCCGCATACCCGATTTCACCCTAAAACCACTTAAATTTCCGAAGGCCATAACTTCTTCGTTCTAAGTCTGTTTACGACGATGCTTATATCCACGAAAAGGTAACGAGAAGCTCTACACTTCTATCAACTCATACATGCCTTAAAACCTCTCGAACAAAAATCCAAATTCCATAAAAGCCCGAACTGACACTTTACCGAAATACCCCTTGGCTCCAAAACACAAACCGAACTTCCCGGATCACCCTAATTACTTTACCCACACCCAAATGAGTCTAAATCTTTTTTCCTCAAAGGCCCTGAGCCTGATGATACTCGGTCTTCGGGTCACCACCCCACATTAGGAAACGATTCGCAACAGGACGTTACAAAATGAATTTTCAAAAAGATGTTTAGATTAGCTTGTGTGGTAGAAAAAGCCAAAAGTCATTAAATTAGGAACTGTTTGGCTTAAAATCTCCTTGTTGAAGTTATTGTGGTTAAAAAGCTAAAAGGAGTTTCAAAAAGCCATGTTTTACATATTTTCTGAAATCTCTTTTTTAAAGCTAATGGGAAATTTATTTTGAAAAATACTTTGATTTTTTCCATACACTTTTTTTGACTTATTGGATTTTCAAAAAGCCAATAAATCAATAAGTTGTTTTAAAAAGCAATCCCAAACACCCCCTTGATCCAACTAAAGACCTTTGGTCTAGCAGTATCACAACCAAGGAAAACATTGAGGGTTTAGTCTCGCTTGAGACGAATGGTATTGACTTAGGAATAATGTAGAGGATGTGTGTGTAAGCATTCTAAAAATATCAAAAAAAAAATAATAACCATCTGATCCAACAAGAGTTTTAAATTTTGTTAGTGACTTCCCATCAAAAATTTCTCCCAGGTAGGAAATTGGTTGTTCTTATTGCATTCAAATAGTTTGAGCGCCATTTCTTAACAACCATTACCCCTGGCATCAAACTTTTTTTGTGCCTCGATTTCTAGGCAATTGGTTGTTCTTATTACATTAAAACCGTGCCTAAACCAAAACCATAAGCATCAGTCTAGATCATGAAGAGTTGAGTAGAGTCGGGTGAACGAAGTATCGTGCATTAGAAAGTGATTTTTTTTAACTTTCAAATGTTGTTTGAGAGTCCTCGCCCCATTAAAAATGATTTTTTTTAATAGTCTCATTAAAGGGAAAACAATGGTTGCATAAATCATAATGTTTGATAAATTTTCTGTAATACCCCAATAATCCCAAGAAACCCATTAATTGTGTGGTTGTTCTTTAGCTAAGACTAATTCTTTTGAATCTTTGAAATATCCATATATACGCCTCCTTGAGAAATGACATTCCCCAAATATCCTAATTTTGTTTTCGCAAACTCACTTTTTTAGATCGGAATATAATTTGTGTTTTGTTAAAAGTTCAAATACCATCTTCAAATGCTCTAAGTGCTCTTTAGGATGATGACTATTTACTTAAATTTCATCAAAGAAAACTAACATAAACTTTCGTAAAATTGTTTGAATACCTCGTTCATAAGCCCTTGAAATATTTTTTGAGCATTGACAAACTCAAAAGGCATTGCCAAGAACTAGTAATGACCTTCATGTGTGCGAAAAGATGCGTTTTAACATCGGTTGATAACATTATGATCTAATGATAACCTAGTTTTAGTTCCAAATTTGAAAAGACACCATCTCCGTATAGTCCATCTAATAACTCATCCACAACTGGTAAATGAAAATTTTTAAAAAGCCCAATAATCTATACAAAACTCCAAATTCTTACTTTCATTTAACTAGCAAAAAGGACATAATAATGAACTTTTGCTATGTTATATAACCCCCGCATCCAACATTTCTTTAATCAAATTTTTAATTTCATATCTTTGGTACCAAGGGTATCAATACGTTCTCACATTAACCGGATCACTTTCTTTCTTGAGTGTAATAGCATGTTCATGCCCTCTTATCAGATGTAAGCTTTTGGGCATGTGAAAAACACCTTCATACTTTTGTAACAATTTTTGCTGTTCATAATATTTAATCTTGGGAGTCTCTTTTTCGGTTGATAACCTGCCAAATTCCACCAAAATGCCAAGCCCTTATTGATGAATTGTCTTACTAATTGATTTAAAAGAAACCAAATCTCCCTTTAAAGTTACTGTTGAAAATTAACCTCAGAACTCAGCCTCATAAGAAATTGACCAAACCGGCCACTTCAACCCCTGACCTTAGAACAACATTTTTATTCTTTTGAGTTAAGAAAGAGTTGAGAGCTTTTAAAGATAGTTCATATTTTCTCGATTTTCCTCTCAGTTTACCCTAACATTGGCTCCTATTGTAAACATTATTATCCCTTGTATATCTGAGTGGTCTCCTCTGCCCGTGGGTTTTCAAGAATTTGGTTTTCCACATAAATCTCGGTATGTTTGCCTTTAATCTTATTTTTTTACTTGTTATTCCCCATTCTCGTTATATATTAGCAATTACATTTGGTTGAAGGTGTTAATCCGCATTATCAAGTCATTTGAAAGAATTTGGATTATTTGGGGCATTACACCTGACCTAGTTCATCAATATTGGTAGACTTTGTTAATTGGCAAGTGTTAATAGTTATATCAACAATTATCATTTCTTATTTTGATTGAAATTTATTGGTTTATGATTGATTTCAATCTTTTGTTTTTGTTCTCCCGTTCTCAATTTTTGTTGTTGTTCTTGTTTGAACCTACTTCTCTAGAAATTGATAAGCTCAAAGATTGATTCTTCAATTGAACATCAGAAGGTCTAAAATACAAGGAAAAATAAATAAAAACGGAATGTCCTCTAAACATAAGGCACAAAAATAATAATAGATATGCATAAATCTAATATGTAAATAAAAACTAAAATCCAATACTCCCCCTCAATTTAGAACGAAGTCTTAAAGATGTTTCGGTTGTGACCGATATCGTCTAGGTCTTCCAATGTGATCATATGTGTCAAAATTTTCTTCTTCGGGCATGTTATTCCCGTCATCCCTTTGGTTTGAAGTGTCTTGATCTTGGTCTTTATGGACAGTTTCATGGTCCAATCCTCTGTCAAGGTGATTGGTGGGTTCAAAAGTCTCAACCGGATCATCAAATTGGGCCCCTCTACTTGTGAATCAAAAGGATCTATCTCATCACTTGCATGGGTCAGTTTGTCAAAACGAAACTTGTTCACAGAACCTCACATCACTCGACGCAATTATCTTATTGTCTTTAATGTCATAAATTTTGTAACCTTTTGTTCCTTACGGATACCCTAAGAACACTCCTGGTCTCCCCTTACCTCAAACTTATCCCCACTGGTAGTGGTGCTTCTATAGTAAGTAAGATAACCAAAAACCTTCATATGATCATAATCAGGTTTCTAAATAAAAAGAATCTCATAAGGAGTTACATTCTCGATAACCCTGGAAGTAAGTCGATTGATAATGAAGGTTGTTGTTAAAATACATTCTCCCCATAATCGTTTTGGCAAATTGGCTTCGAACATTAAGGCTCTAATAGTTTCAAGCAAATGTATGTGTTTTCTTTCCACAACTCCATTTTGTTATTGGGTGTGTAGGCAAGTGGTTTCAAGTAAAATCTCATGTTCATTGTAAAGCCTTCACATTTTATTTGATGAATTCACCACCATTATCGGTACGAATTCTTTTAACAAGTTTTCCAAATTGTGTTTTTATCATGTTGTGAAATTTTATCAGGCAATTGTTGGCTTGATGCTTGTATTTTAGAAGGAAAACCCAAACAACTCTACTAAAATCATCAACTATGGTTAAAAAATAAGTTGCCCCAGATAGAGATGGAACACGATATTTACCCCAAATATCACAATGTAAAAGCTAAAACCATCTGTTGGTTTTGATACTACTATGTGAAAAGGGTAATCTAGAATGTTTTGCTTTAGAACAGGAATCACATAGTTTATCAAAAGAACTATTGCTAAGAAAATCTATTTGAGTGAGTTTATCACCAGAAGCATGTCCCAATCTTTTGTGTCAAATATCTATAGTTGTCATCATGGATTTCTTTAATCTTCTAATCATCCCCATTCGGTATAGACCGTTCTTGCACTCACCCGTACCAATCAAGTTCCTTGTATGAAGTTTCTGCATGACACAAAAATCAGGAAAGAAGGTTATAGTTGATTGCAAATCTTTGCACATTCTACTAATCGATAAAAGATTACAAGTAAATTTTGGAATATGTAAGACTCCTTTTATCTTAGTTCCTCCTGGCAAGGAACATTCTCCCTTTCCTTCAACTGGTATTGCATCCCTATTAGGAATAACAACAAGTGTTTCAAAACAGTTTTTAGTTTTGTTTTCAAGTATACTAGCATCATATATGATGTATTCAATCGATCCTGAATCAATAACCCAACAATTATTATTATTACCTTTACCGTCATGAACGCCTTTGAGGTATTGACCTCCTTATCGAAATTTCCCGTTTCAGAAAAATGACTTAAAAAGGACTCATATTGTTCGTTGGTTAACCCAGGAATGGGTGTGCACAAGGTTGTAAAAATCGCTCAGCGGTAGCTCGGCGGTCGACTGGCGATAAGCGATTAATCGGACTAGGCGGTGATTAATCGGAGATTAATCGGGGACCCTTAATTATTGATAAAATTATTTAAAAAATTAATATTCCCTAAAAAACTAAGTATTTGAGAATTTAAAATTTTAAAATTTTGAAAATTTTAGTTTAATATTTTAAAATTTGAAAGCTTAAAAAATTGAAAGTTTAATATTTTGGTGTAATATTTGAAAATTAAATTTTTTTTAATTTTTTAAAAAATATACGACTATTGCCGCTGAGACCGCCAAGGATCGCCAAGGCCAACTTTGACCGATTTTGACCAATTTCCACCAAGCACCCTAATCGTAATCGGTTTATGGCCGCCAAGCGATTAATCGGCCGCCAATGCCGATTTCTGTAACACTGGGTGTGCAACTTCCAGATTCGGTGAAAGCTGCCTTTGATACCATTTCGGATAACCTATTCGTTTGAAACATCCATCTCATTAGTGGCCATCCTTTCCACAGAAGGTGCAATGCTCCATCACATCCTCCTGGTCTCCCTTTGAAGTGTTTTGTCACACTTTTGATTTTGGTTTCCTTCTGGACGAGTCGGCACAAACTTTTTGAGGTTGCAACTTCTGTGACGGGTTTCTTGTCGGCTGAAATAGCCCTTTGACACTCATCTTCAGCAACAAGATGGTAAGCATTCCCGAGGCTTGGTATAAGGTTCATGGCAAGAATTTGGCGTGAATTTGAGTCCTGATAACAACAGAGAAGGAGTTATCTAGACCCAAGAGAAATTCATAAAGCTTATCTTTATCCTTTACCTCACTTAACTTCTTCCTGACTTGGCATGTGCAACCATCATATGAACATCGAGGCATTGGAAGCACAGATCCGATCTCATCCCAGAGACTACGCAACTTGGTGTAGTAGAAGGACATGGTGGCTCCATTCTGAGGCGTCATTGAGAGTGTTTGTTTTAATTCATATGCGCTGGGTGCTCTTTCCTTCCCAAAACACTCCTTTAGATCGCTCCAGATCTTAGAAGCAGTGTGAGCATACTTTACGTTGCTTCTTATTTCCTTCTCCATTGTCGTTGTGAGCTACCCTTTTACCATGGGCATCACAACGCATCCAGGACATGTATTCAGCAGAATCCTTTTCTGGTTTCGTGATGGACCCGTCAACGAAACCAACCTTATTTTTGGCAAAGAGAAAGTTCATCATCTCTTGACACCAATCTGTATAGTTGCTGTCAATGAGAGTTTCGTTGACATGAATCTGTTTGGGGTATTCAGATGCATAGATATAGAATGGAGAATTCGTATCAGGAACGCCATCATTCTTCTTTTGGTTTGAACTTTCTGCAACGCCCGTCAAGATTGTTGATCGACTAGGGTTTGGCGTGTTTGGTTAAAATCCGCTCTGATACCATCTAGAAATTGACAGCTCAAATATTGATTCTTCAATTGAACATCAGAAGGTTTAAAATACAAGGAAAAATAAATAAAAACGGAATGCCCTAAACATAAGGCACAAGACAAATAATATATATGCATAAATGTAATAAATAAATAAAAACTAAAATCCAATAACTTCTCATATATATATATATATATATATATATATATATATATACACACACACACACACACAATGACCACTTTCCCAAGTCGAGGTTAACACCCAGAATGAAAATTGATGGAAGTGAAAAGAAATTAAAAGAAATTGGTGTTCCCAAGTTTCATTAAAATAAGGAAATAGAAGGACCACTTTCCTTCCGATTTAGAAGGATTTGGAGAGAAAGAACAAAATGTGTAATTTTCATTTCACTTCTCTCCAAATTAGGAACACAAACGACAAATTCTTTTCCTTTCCTTACTTTCTTTTTTGTTCTTTTCTTTCCTTTGCTAAAACCCGGGAACTAGGTGTAAATGAAGAATACAACCACAAAGGTCTAGTGAAAAAGATCATCCTTCAGGCTAAACGACCACAAAACGTACATTTGTGGATTTAAACCTAATCACTACAAAACGTACCATTTACGAGATAGGAATTCCCGATTAGTAATCAGGAATTTTTTGGTGAATTTATTTGTGGCTATTATGCAAGCTTACGATCCCTCATTCTAAATTTGTAGCATTCAGAACTAAAGACAGATGCACTAAAAAAGATGGATAAACTAAAACTTCTCCACCTAAGTAATGTGCAACTCGAAGGGTCATATGAGAATTTTTCAGAAGATTTAAGATGTCTCTGCTGGTTTGGATCCCAATTAAGAACAATACCCTCTGACTTATCCATGGAAAACTTGGTGGCTATGGATATGAGATATAGCAACTTGGAAGTATTTGATCCGCCCATGGTAGGGAATTTGATATCTCTTTTTGTTGCTTATCCATTTTGTGTCTCGGTTTTGGTGATCTTTATGCAGATATTAAGTGCTACCTAAATCTAGTTACTTGTGCAACAGGTTCTTCAGTCATTGCGGATATTAAACCTTAAAGACTCGCACAATCTATTGGAAATCCGCAACATGTCCAGGATCCCTCATCTGGAGACTTTGATTCTTTGGAACTGTCACAGTCTGGTTCATATTTGTGAAACCATTGAAGACCTGACAAGTCTTGCACTACTGAACCTAACAGGGTGTATAAACCTGTTAGTAGGGCTAAAAGTTTCTACTTCTGATGGAGGCATTGCAACACAACCTACCTTTTCCTTCCCACATTCATTACGTCGCTTATTCTTCAATGAGTGCAATATTGAGTGTACTGATTCTTTTTGTCTGAGTTTTAGTGTTCACATATCTTTGCAGTACTTGAATTTAGGCAATAGTCTATTTGAGTTTCTGCCTTGTTATGATCATCTTAAAAATCTTTGGGTCCTTGACTTGAGTTTTTGCTCAAGACTTAAATGGCTTCTATGCCTCCCAAGTACACTTGCAGAATTATACATATATTACTGTACATCATTGGAGAGAGTAACTTTTGAATCTCCTCGTTTCACATTGCAAGAGTTTGGCTATGAAGGTTGTAGTAGTTTGTGTGAAATTGAAGGCTTTATCAAATTATTCCATATAGCCAAACTTGAAGATAATGATTTGGGACACATGAAGTGGCTAAAGGAGTATCAAAATTATAAGGTGTGCCTGGTTGGTGATGATGAGCTTACCAAAGGCAGAAGTTCATCTTTACAGGTTCGTTGACTCTCTCTCTCAAATGCATGCATAACAGCATAAGCACACATACGTACATCAACATATATACCACCTTTGAATTTATTGTGTGACTGAATTGTATGGCACAGATGTTGTATGAATTCGATATAATGAGCACATCTCTACCAGACATAAAGGATCCAAACATGAAGCCTAATTATGCATCAAAGTTATCGTTTTTGTCCTTTGACGTTCCTTCAGATCCCACAAGTAAGAAGCTCAAAGGACTTGATGTAACTTTCAAATATACAATATCAGGTCATGAGTGTGCATGGTTCTGTAAAATATGTACGACCAAAGGTGTTGATTTGATTTACAATCCCAAAGTCTTCGGCAAACCTGACTCTGGTAAAGTTGGTATATGGTTAAGCTATTGGCCAATTGGAAACACATTGGACATTGGAGATACAGTTAAAGTCTCTATTGTTGCGATGAGAGGATTGAAAGTACATGATTGTGGTGTGAGCCTTGTTTACTCTGACAATGAAGTAGCTGAGGAAACCTTGATTAATAACAAGGGATGGGTAGAAATTCTTGGAGGAGATTTGTCTGGATTTCAACTAAGCACAGGAGTGTACTATCTTTGTCGACGTGATTTCTTTGAGTTGGTGGAAGCTGGTGGACTGACTCGTGGTTGGTTTAGAATGTTAGTTGGTGGTACCATTGACCATACAGGTATGCCTCTCTTGTCATTTGTCAAGCCATTTCTGGACATTTGTAGTTAGAATTATGCAGTTGAACCCATCATTTACAGAGCTCATCTTATGACACATTGTTACAGAGGTTCAAGGATGGAGAAAGACAGGTCGACCAAGGCTGTCGAACCCATCAAGTACAGAGTTGAGAGCTGTTAGATGCATCATCCATGGTCCTGAATTGGTAAGTTTGATCTATAATCTTTCTTTTCTGGCATCAACTCCACATGGATTATATGAGACTTACAATCAATTGGTATAAGATGAATAGGACCTTTGTGATTTAGTTTTATCATTGATGGGGATCGGAAGGGACCATTTGGGTAGTTATAAATTCTAATCAATAACTTGGACATCAATATGCATCAAATTCAAATAAAAATTTAAATACAATTAAAAAAATTAAAACACTTTAATATGTTTTATACGAATAATCTATTTCGTTATAGTCATAGTTTTGTGATAATATAATTTATAAAATTATTGTAATATAATACATACATATTTGTTAAACCTTTTGTTTCTTGATGCTAATTTGGTTATAATAAAGAAATAACTATGTTTTACTAATCTAATCTGTGGCTCTGGTATTTATGAAAACAAAAAGGTGGAGATGTACAAGATGGCAGAGATGTCAAAATCATCTTTTGTAAATAAATGTTCAGAGGTCACATCAAGCATACTTGGGGATACAAGTTCAATAGCTTCCGGTTCTTCCTCAAGCAATAAGGCTTCTCCTGATGCTAATGATGGCATCTACGACGTTTTCATAAACCACAGTGGAGGAGATACTTGTAATTCTTTTATAGATCATCTTTACACAGCATTAAAACGAGCAGCAATTGAAACTTTTATGGATACCCCAGAATTCTACATAGCTGCAGGAATGATGTCACCGAGAGTAATTAAAGGATCTAGATCTTCAATAATTGTATTGTCAAAAAACTATGCAACTTCTAGTATTTGCCTTGACAAGCTTTTGTTGATCCTTGAACAAAGGAGGGAGCACAATCATTTCGTTCTACCTATTTATTATCAAGTTAATCCTTCTGATGTGAGGAATCAACAAAATACTTTCGCAATCAATGTCAAATCCTCTTGGGAGTTTACGGATCACAAAGTGAACTTGTGGAAGAAAGGCCTGAAGGAAGTTGCTGATTTGGGTGGCTTGGTTTGTTTGGGGTATGCCTCTTAGTCTCTTGTGATTCAATAATTACTGAATTACATTTCTACTGAAGCTATTCTGATCCAATAGTTTTTCACAATTATTAGTGTGAACTTGTAGCTAAATGTTGGTCTCTACTTCAAAGTAATGACTTGGTTAACTTTTTTCTTGATAAATGTGTCAATAAAACTAACCTATGAATCGGTTGGAGATCTTTGTTTGCCAGATAAATTTGAAAAAGCCAGTGAAAAAGTAATTTTAGCATAAATGAAGATTACTAGAGAATTAATCTGTGATGGGTAAATATTTTATTTCAAATATATAAATAAACAATACTGTTATGATCTCCTCTATATATATGTCAAAAAGTCTATAGCTGAATGCTTCTTGATACATCATATACAAATTTGATTCTTGAGTCTTGACACACACACACACCTGTGACCCCAAGTATGTATGTTTTTTTCCAGTCTGTTTAATTAAGAAAAAAACAGTAAGGAACTGTCCCTTCCAACATAACTGCAAGCCTCCAGTTGGCCTTTACCATCCGACCTTAACAGCCTTGACTTGCATTTTTATTTAATTATATTATATTTGTAAATAAAAATGCTTGTATAGTTAATTTCCAAAATATTCTATACCATTGTAGATAACTTCACCATGTTTTAGTTCAATTTTGACTATTTTTTTGTGAAACTTTAATGGTAAGAAGATTTAAACTTATATTACTAGCAACCAAAATTTAGAAATTCTATGATATTTTCATTCACTTATAAAGAATCTCTAAATGTCATCCCATGAACTTATTCATTTTTCTTGTGTGGTTCCAGGCCTGAAACAACATTTTTGAAGGAGATAGTTGACACGATCAACAGTAAACTCGATGGAAAGGAAGTTCATCTTCCACCCAATCTAAGTGGGATGGCCACTCGATACCAGGAGATCAATTCCTGGTTAAATCAATCCGATTTTCAGTTCTTAGTAATTTGTGGCATGGGTGGAAGTGGCAAAACAAAGCTGGCGAACTATATTTACAATTCAAATTTGAAGAATTTTGAAAGCACGGGATTTCTTGAAGACATTGATCGCAGATGTAAGACGCTCGATGATTTGTTTGAACTACAGGAACAACTTCTTAAAGATATTTTAGGTGGAAAGAAGAGAAAAATACCAGGTGTTTCTCCAAGTACATGTACGTTTGAGGACGCCTTAGAAACAAAAAGGATGCTTATTGTTCTTGACGACATTGCTATATATAGTCAACTACTCACTTTACTTGGAACCGGGAAGATTAATGCACAGAGCAAGATTATAATAACCACCAGGGAAATTATAGATAGTTGGTTTAAGTTTAGAGATTGGAGGTGTCAAGTTCATGAAATGAGGGATGATTGAATAAGAATGAATCATTATCTTTTAAACGTCATGCTTTGGTTCCAACGTTCCTATAGAAGATTTGGAGGAGCTTGTTTGTAGAAATAGCATGATATTGTAGAGGAATTCCTCTTGCTCTTGTAGTGTTCGCTTCTCTTCTTTAGCCAATGACAATATCATCTTATATTGGAAAAGCTAATTGGATTTATTGAAAAAGAAAATTGATTCTTGAATTCAAAGTGTACTTATAATTACCAATGAGTTATTGCCAACCGGCTTTATACAAAGAATTCTCTTCTTTGTTGACAAAGACATCTATTACATGGTAAAGATATAGGAGTCTGGTTTATGTGCTGTAGATTAAAACTCTAAACAACATGTGCCTTCTTTCTGTTTCATTAAACAAAAAACTAATGATACACCGATTGCTTCAAGAGATGGGAAAACAATGTAGATCGTCAAGAATCAAGATTCCCTGCAAATCTAGTAAGTTAGGAATAGTAGCGGCTCTTATAAGATATTGAGGAAAGGAAACGTAAGGTGATTCTCTTATGTATGTTTAAGCCTATTTTTACTTTCACACCCCTAATATTTCATTTGAATTCTATGGCTTGTCATTTTCTTTATTTAAAAAGGATGAATCATATCCGAATCTATTTTTTTCATTTAGGATTGGGGAACAATGGAAGGTTTAGCACTTTGACATGCCACTTTGACATGCAAGTACTGAGGCATGAGAATTTTGTATTCAAGGTTATACAAAATAAATAAAATGGAAATTGGTACAAACACTACTAGAAAATAGATTTTTAATGAAACACAGAAAATAGGTCTTTAATGAAACATGAACTTTAACATACACTAAATTATGACATACATTTTTGTATGTCATAAAAGGGTTGTCTTTACTAAAATTTGAAGGATTTACGACATTCATAATTGTAAATTTGTGTCATCTAATATTTATGACATTAACTTTTGTATGTCATTTTTCAGTGTCATTATAAAGAAATTAAATAATAAAAACATAGAGTACACTTCATCAAATATGTATGTCATCTTCTAATTTTCGTCTTATAATTCCTAAAACTTGCTTCAAAGATGTCCCGGCCTCACAAAATTGAGGAAGACCTATGGCTTTTGTGATAAAAAAAAATACCTCACAAAATTGTTCACACAGCCGGTGATTAAGGGTTTTGCGACTCCTCATGTAACATCCCAAAATTCATGACCAAAAATTTCATTTTTAATTTAGTAATTTATAAAAACAATAGTCATAAAACATCCACAGTGTCATCCAAATCATAATCGAACTCAAGTGTCGAAAACCATAACATGTCATAGGAAAAATAATATCAGAGTACAATTCCCTAAGAATCTCATAATGCGGAAAATCATAGTGTGATGCGCTGCGATCATGCCGTCTCCTTTCCTTTTGAAGAAGAAATACCTGAAACCAAAACTGTAAACCGTAAGCACAAAGCTTAGTGAGTTCCCCCCATCATACCACATACCATACAATAAACATATTGTCAGACATATATGGGTGCCCGACCTACCCCGCTGAGCATACCTGGGTGCTCAACCTACCCATGTCAGGCATACCGAGGTGCCCGACCTACCCCTGTCAGGCATAGCTGGGTGTCCGACCTACCCACATCAGGCATATCTGGGTGCCCAACCTACCCTCCGGTTTATTTCAACCAGTTACGGGGTTTATTTCACCCCTACCACTAACACATAATAACATATCATAACCATACTGTGAGGCATATCTGGGTGCCTGACCTACCCTCCGGTTTATCTCAACCGGTTACGGGGTCTATTTCACCCCTCCTACCACTACCACATAATAACATAGCATACAAGCACATAAATCTCTACATATAGTGGCATACCAGACAATTATTACAAAGACAATCATCTCTACTATAAACAAGTACTAATGGGCCGGCATTGGTGCCTTCGACCCACTCATATAGGAAAGGTAACTCACCTCGAACACTGGAAAGTAGCTGCACAGTCTCCGGCTCCGAATATCAACCCAACTCAATCCTCTAAACATAAAAGATTTCCTTAAGTACCCCTTTCATAATCATAACCCCTTAAGGGTCAACTTTGGTCAAACTCCAAGTCAAAGTCAACACCCAGGTCAATGTCAACGCTCCGAGTTGACTCAACTCGTCGAGTTACCCTCCAACTCGGCGAGTTTCCATAAATCACAGAATCGTGATATCGCGATCCAACTTGTCGAGTTCTCCCTACAACTCGCCGAGTCCCTCTTTTTCCAACAGAGTCGGGACATTTCCAGAACAACTCGTCGAGTTCTCTCATGAACTCGTCGAGTTCTTTAGTCTGCCAACCTACTTAATGCATTAAGTCACTATTCTTCCAACCTAAGGCTCTATCTTCTGGATCTAAGCTGGAAATATGTCTAGAAGGGTAAAGTTTTGAACTTTACCCACTAAGAACCTCTCCCAAGGTATAAAACTCAAACCCTAGTCCAAAATGGCTTAAATCTACATCCAAAATCCATCAAGACTTCAAGATACCTCATAAGAACATAGATTTGGACCTTAAAGATTAGATAATCATGTAAAGTCTCCAGCTTTCTCTACATGCATGGCCATTAGAAGCTCAAAAGGCCAAAATAAAGGTTTAGAGGTTACATGGGACTTCCATAGCCATAAAGTTGGCACCTTTATGCCATGAAAGCCCCTCAAGACCCTAGATCTGAAGGGTTAACCCATAAAGAATGTCCAACTCCTCAATGCCCATTTCTTTTGGACTAAAACAAGCAAAATAACCCTAAAAGGAGATCTATGCATTCATAAGTCAAGGTTCAAGCTTTGTACCAAAAATGTATCGAGAGTGCAACCAAGAATCGAGATCTAGCAACTCCTTCTTGTATCTCTAAGCTTCCTTTCTTCCAATATCTTTAAGAAAACACAAAAACACCCAAAATGGATCACAAACACTCAACTAGCTTTAGGGTTTTCGAGGATAGGGTTTAGGGTCTTGGAGGCTGGAAATGAGGCCAACACCTTGGGGTTAAGGTGTTTAAATAGGGTGCAAACCCCGGAAATTAGGGTTTCATTTTACCCAGCCAACTCGTCGAGTTGGGACCTCCCAACTCGTCGAGTTGGGACCTCCCACCTTATCGAGTTGGTCTCCAAAAATACGCGGTCCATGAAGTCTCTACTCGACGAGTTTGGGGCCTCCAACTCGTCGAGTTGCTCTATAAAAATGAATCCAGGCGTTACAATTCTCCCCCATTTGTCTCAGACTTCGTCCTCGAAGTCTGCTGCCCCAAATAATTTTGGGTAATGCTCCCTCATCTAATCCTCGGGCTCCCATGTCCACTCTGACCCCTTGCGGTGCAGCCACTGCACCTTCACTAGCTGCACAACCTTGTTCCTCAAAGTTTTCGCCTTCTGATCTAAGATCGCCACTGGTCTCTCAACGTATTTCAAGCAGTCATCCACCTGAATATCCTCTAAGGGCACAACTGCAAAATCATACACTAAGCATTTTCGCAGCTAGGAAACATGAAAAGTACTGTAGATCTGAATAAGCTCGGCTGGCAGATCCAGCCGATATGCAGCCCGGCCCACCCGAGCCAAAACCCTAAACGGACCGATGTGCCTGGGGCCCAACTTGCCCCGCTTCCTTAACTGGATGACACCTTTCCAAGGTGACACCTTCAGGAGAACCATGTCTCCCACCTGGAACTGTAAGTCCGACCGGCGCTTGTCGGCATAGCTCTTCTGCCGACTCTAAGCTGTCTGGAGCCTGCTCTTGACCTGCTGTATCATCTCGGTAGTCTTGAGTACCACCTCGGTACTCCCCATGACTCTCTGACCGACCTCGCCCCAATAGATTGGGGTTCTACATTTCCTCCCGTAGAGCATCTCGAAGGGAGGCCGATCTATGATAGCGTAATAACTGTTGTTATACGAAAATTCCGCTAACGGAAGATACGTATCTCAACTCCCTCAGAAATCCAATACGCATGCACGCAGCATGTCCTCTAGAGTCTGAATCGTCCTCTCACTCTGTCCATTCATCTGAGGGTGAAAAGTTGTACTAAAGTGGAGACGAGTGCCCAACTCGTTGTGAAACCGCTTCCAAAATCTGGAAGTGAATCGAACATCTCGGTATGACAGTACCGAAACCGGCACTCCATGACGTGCCACCACCTCGTGAATGTAGATCTCGGCTAACTTCTCTGCCAATATACTCTCTTAGATCGGGATAAAATGTGCATTCTCGGTCAACCGATCCACGATGACCCAAATCGAATCCACTCCACGTGCGGTCTTGGGAAGCTTTGTGATAAATCCATAATGATGTCTTCCCATTTCCACATGGGAATCTCCAACGGCTGCATCTTGTCATGAGGTCGCTGATGTTCGGTCTTGACTTTCCTACAAGTCAAGCACCGTTCCACATACCATGCCCCATCCTGCTTCATGCAGGGCCACCAAAAATCAGGACGAAGATCTCTATACATCTTCGTCGCCCCGGGATGGATAGAAAATCTAGACTTGTGCGCCTCCTCCATTAGAACCTGGCGCACACCTCCCAGATATGGAACCCACACTCTCCGATGAAGTGTCAACAATCCACGGCTATCGTAATCGAAGGAAGCCACCTGCCCCACAATGCACTCACTTTTCTGGTGCTCTTCCTTCATAGCCTCTAGCTGAGCCTCCCGAATTTGTTCCAGCAATGGAGTAATCACTGTCATCATCAGACATATGTATCTGATTGGGCCCGTGAATGCCTTGCGTCTAAGGGCATCGGCCACAACATTGGCCTTTCTCGGGTGGTAGAGGATCTCGCAGTCGTAATCCTTTACCACGTCCAACCACCGTCGTTGCCTCATGTTCAGATTTGGCTGATCGATCAGGTACCTCAGGCTCTTGTGATGCATGTAAATAGTACAGCGGACCCTATTGAGGTAGTGTCACCAAATATTGAGGGCAAAAACAACTGCCCCCAACTCCAGATCGTGCGTCGGGTAGTTCGCCTTGTGAGGCTTGAACTGCCTCGAGGCGTAAGCGATGACGCGCCCTCTCTGTATGAAAACTGCGCCTAAACCTAAGATAGACGCATCGCAGTATACTACGAAATCCTCGACGCCCTCTGGCAGGGTCAATATCGGTGCCACGCACAACTTCTTCCTCAAAGTCTCGAACAC